TCGCTCGCTGAACCTTCTGTAAGCCACCCCTGTATGAAACGCTTTCCTTTGGTCGTTTTATAATGTGTAATTTTACTCCAGGTGCTGCATTGCTCAGATGGGCATACGCATGGCATTGCATTAAACAAGCTGGAGTGCATCATTGTCATTCAGAGAACACATCAGCTCTGACTCATCTGGGATGCAGCTTTAACTTCACAGCCAGTTATTCTCATGATCTCACGAATCATGTTTACCAACCTTGCAGAGTTTTTATTTTCTTGTTGTTCTCTCTCTCCCCGTAGCATATTTTCATTCACTATCTGTTTGCAGCCGGTTCTACTTCCAGCTGACAATCCTCTCTGTCTTCTCTCGTTCCCCTCTAGGATGAAAAGAACCAAGTGTTGATCACAAACGCGTGGCTGCAACTGGTATGTCTCTGTGCTCAGTAAATAGTGTGTGATCAGTGTGATAATTTTATGTTCATTTACATTTTGGTTCAAAATCATCCATGCCCTTGGCGGGTTTAGATTTAAAATTGTTTTCATTCAACCGAGACGTTTGTTTGTGTTTTAGAGGATGAAGGGATCAGGAAAAGCTGTCTGCATCACTGGCAGCTGATGTGATGCAGAGCTGCTTCGTAGGTTCATGCGCCTTATTGTTTCAGGCGTTTCATCCTTTGCTGAAGCTGTAGGTGGTCCAACAATCAAGGTAGCACGAGCTGTGTCAGGGCAAATAATCATCTGTTACTTTTAAAATGAAAGTAAAAGTGCAGATAAACAACACAGCAGGCAGAGTCGGTGGAAAACAAGGCACTTGCTGCAACGCCAAGTCGTTCAAACTAATCTGTAGTCTAGCTGGGAACTTCTCATTCACATCTTCACAAATATTTCATAGTTGATTTAGGGGGTCAGCCCTCCACACTTCATCTTTAGCTGAAACTGGACTAAAAATCTGTATTTTATTTTTTTTTTTATTGCACTTGTAGGTGAAAGCTAATGGGAAAACGTCAGTCGTACCAATCCCACCAGTTCTTGACCTCTGTACCCAGAATGAACAAACGTCTTGAGATTCTTTTCAGAAATCAGTTCAAAAGCAAAATAATAACTTTGACATCAGATAAAACAGAACAAAAAGGTAAAAGTAAAATAAAGCTGTTCATCCTGTCAGATTTCCGTTTAACTGACTCTGTTGTGTGCTCGACTGATTTTGTGGGCTGAATGCTGATAAGTTTGGGCACCAAGTTACCACCTAGTTAATGGGTATTGATGCGATAAAGATGGTCTGATTCTCATTGAATAATAAAGAAAAAACCTATTTGGCAGGTAGAAGCATAGCAGAATTCAGTTTGCTTTACACAGAAAATCATTTTCCAAAGTCATATTGGAAACATATTCCAGTATGTCAAACATTGAACATTTTCCAATATCAAACATACTGTATGTACTTCAACACAAATGTCACAAATCTTCTTTTCACAAGAGTACACTTTCATAAGAGAGCTTTGTTTTAGAAAAGCTGATCAAAACACAATTACACATATCAATATCTGATGCTGCAACAAGTTATTGAGATCTGATGTAAAAAATAAAAAAAACAAAAAAACAAAAAGAACAACTTGTAAAATCCAGTCCAGGTTAGCAGCAAGCATGGAATAGAATCATAAACAATTCTTGTGTAGAAAAATTATCATATCTGCCCTCTTAGGCAGTACGCTCAAGCATCCTAGATAGATATTGTCTCCTGCAGTAGAGAACACGCGTGCGCCGGGTGTCGAAGAAGCCTGAACACATAAATATGAAAAAGCAAGATCTGACAGAAAGGGATAAGTCTTTTGATGGTTCCACCAGCATGCGGAGAGGTCCTCAGATATGATGGCCAACGGAACTGCTTGATACATCTGCAGCTCTCTTTTGACACTATCTGCTTTTCTTCAATAAAAAAAAAAAAAAAAAAACTCCTTCAGTAATAGTCCTTCTGGACAATTTGTAGGCTGGCATTTACTAAACAAACCACAGTTTCTTCAATATTAAAATAAAAAAAGGGAAACCATCCTTTTTTTAAGGGATTAGGATTCTCAATCTTAATAATTGATATTATTAAGATTGAGAATCTATATAGTTTTAAGTATAGCGCTCTTAGGGTCTTTTCACGCCTAATTCTGACTCTACAATCTGAATATCACAGCAAACAGCACGCATCATAAGAAAACAATTTTCTAATTTGCTGCATAGAAATTGTGATGAACCTGTTACTTACAGTCTCAGTTTCATGTTTTCATCTCATTTTCTTCTCATTTTTACAGCTGAAGCTCATGACATTCCCATGTGCAGTTAGTAATCACTTTAAAAAAAAAAAAAAAAACATGCCTACCCTTTTTAAAAAATATTTAACCAAACGTCTTACACACGGGACATTGGGTTCCACTTCTGCATGGAGGATCTTGTAGATTTTATTTTTAAAGTAAAATAACAAAAAAATATGCTGAAAGAAATATTTACTACCTTGTGTAGTAGTAAGGAAAAGTGTTACATCGGTGGAACCAGGCATGCGGAACGTCCTTACATCCTTCTCTTTATTATTACAGCAGATCCAGTCAGAACAACCCATTAGAGATGATACAGCCAAGGTTGAGTTGGCTGCTGACTGCCTTACAGGTTATGAATGTATCAATTATTCAGGAAGCCACCTCTTTAATACATCATCTACTTTGGTGCAGTAGCTTATGGGGTCTTTGCAGATGCAGCAAGATTGCAAGGAGACTTGAGAAGTGGATTATGCACCCAGAGACAATCAGTCAGATAGTCGGAAAAGGGGCGCGTTTAACTTAACTGCATCCTGGATGATATTAGGATTTTTATGAAATATGTGTGATTGACAGAGAATAAATTACATTTCTTGAGGTGAAAATGTGTAATTTGATCAGCTTTTGTTCATATTTGTGCTCTGCGTCTCTCTCCTCCTCTCACGAATGATAAAGATAATTGCAGATATGATGCATATCTGCAATTATATATCATAATTGCAGATATGATGCAATTATGATGCATAATTCTTTTGCATGCACTGCAAAAGAATTATGGAATTATTTTAATAATAATGTGTTGCAAATACAAAGTGATGCTTAATTATCAAGTGAATGAAAAATGCTACATAGTTTAGATTTTTTTTTTAACAAATAAAAATCTGAAAAATATTTTGTGCTTTTGTATTCAGTCTGTTTTACCTTTTTTTTTTTTTACCCCTAATAAAATCCAGTGCAAGCAGATGTATTCTGGTTAGAAGATAAAATGATGTTTTCTGAAGGCCTCAGGGTTTTTTTTGTTTTAGAGAATGTTAAAGAATAAACGGCATTACAGACTTCCAAAAGAAGTAGAAAATAGAATTTAGAGCAGGATCAGGTTATAAACAGATTTGAACGCCGTACGGAGAACTAATAAATTCTGTGTTAGGGGAAATGGAAAGAGTATGGCACAACTGCAAACTTACCAGCACATGGTGTCCTACTTTAAGTAACAGGCTGAAGAGGAAGGAGAAAGTTAATCAAAGAAGAAGCCAAAAGGTTGAAAGTGGGAGAATTTATTTACTCGACTATTATGAGCGATGCACAAATCGGATCTGTATGGAAGCGTGGCAGTACGAGTAGGATTAGCTGAATTGATGTTCTCTGTGTTTTTCCAGATATGTTACTTTTTGGCCTACTGCTATTTTGAAAAGGGGATTGGGTAAAATGTTTTACTTAAAAAAAAAGAAAAATCATGAATCATTTTCCTCTACTTAACAGATACGTGCTACTTTGGGAGTGGTCGTAGAGTGACAGCACTTGAAAAGATACAAGGGGTATGGATACCTGTAAACCTGAAGGACACGTCTGTGCCAGACAAAAGTCTTTTGGTTGCCCTGCTGTGCACCACCAATCAAATTCCACTTCTGACGGTGAACAGAGACACAGCGAACAGAAATACGTATTTCTGCACCCATATAAGTTCCCGGAATCTGTTTTCTGCTGGTTTGTGTTGAAGAGGCTGAACAGTGGAAGCACTCTAAGAGACGAACATCAGGAAGACGCTCACATCACCCAAAAGACAAGAAGCAATCAGAGCCACGTATCGAATTATTTTCACAGCTTCAGCTGCTGCTTCCGCTGGATTTCCAATTTGTTCCGTTTGTGTCTTGTGCTTTAAAACAACTCGATAGTAGTCATAGATTTGCAGAGCAATTATCACACTATTTTAACTATGGCTGTCTCAAATTAGTGATGCCTGATACTAAAACTTCTGTTACATAACCACTATTCTTAGACAGATGCTGCTTTGCGTTGCGGATGATGTCCGCCTCCCTGACCAAAGAGCTGAAGGTTAACTGCTTTGTCGTGCTTTTGCAGCCAAGGAACATGAAAAGAAACAACAAACATGTCAAGGTTTAGTGATGGCAAGTGTGGTATAATTAAGTCATTAGCCTCCGCAGCGGAGACATATGTCAGCAGACACGAATTAAATGTTTCAGAAAAGAACTGGGTTTTTATTAGTAGGAAAGACATGTGCCAACTAATACAAGGCAAAATCTTGCTAAATGGAAGAATACTATCTGCATGCATGCACGATTACGCACGTGAACATACAATGCGAGCTAAGCAGATGTGCATCATGTACAGTGGCCACTTTAAATACAGGTCTTTGGTTGTTCCACAGAGAAGAGGCCCTAAAGTTTTAACATGTGCCTACATCCATCTGCCCGACTCTTATACTAGAACGTTAAAGCAAAACATGCTAAAACACACAACATTCATATGACAGATGAACTTGTTACTTGTCATAAATAATAATAATAATAAAATAAAAAAAGCAGCAGTGTGTGCTTTTAAAATGCTGTGAAGCTGGACTCACTTCTCTCTTTGCTGAATTGAGCCAACCTCGGATGGGATTCCGGGGAGCGGTGCCAAACGTCGGCTTGGCAGACTTTCAGTGGCAACATTCATTATCTGAGCTGGAGACAAAGTGTAACAGCCAACAACTAATAGCCTGTGTAATAGGGAAATGTTTGACTTTTGATGGCCTCAGGTTAATCACATTTAAAAGGAGAGATTTTTGAAGGATTTTGATCTTTCAATACCTCTCTGTGTCAGCATTTATCATAAAATAGGATTAAGCAGAGGTGGTGCATCCGCTCACGAATCAACATTTTAATGAAGTCCAGAGCTGAAGACGGAGAGGTGTTGTTTCTGTCAAATACACCTATGTGAACGGCATCAATAGAAACCTAACTTTTTTTTATTTATTTTTTTACTTTTGCATCCTAATTGTAAAGCAAATTCATTGATCTGCTTTCTTATTCTCCAGCATTGGACGGATATTTATCTGTCCTGGAACCCAGAGAACTACCCCGGGGTCCAGAATCTCCGCTTTCCCTCCAATCTGGTTTGGGTTCCAGATATCCTCCTCTACAACAGGTAAAGTCTGTTTGTGTCTGTTTTCTTATCTCCTGCATCCTTTTTTTTTTTAACTCGTCATGCTCTATGCTTTTCATATTATCGGTTGCTTTTGACTGTCTTGATTTATTGTGTAAACATTGTCATCTCTTGGGTTTTACTGTTTTATTGCACTTGTTATTTTAAATCAGCTTTATTTTATGGGTTTGTTTGCACCTTTTGTCTATTTTTTGTCCCTTGCATTTTGTCATTCTGAGATTCGTCTGATGGCCACATTTGTAACTCTGTTCAGCTCACTTTCAGGTTCAACAATCACCTTCATTCCCTGAACCACTGTCTTCTGTGATTTTGAAGTTTCCATGTGTTTTTGTCTTTTTTTACCCACATGAGTTAACATCCTGAAAAAATTACAAAAAAAGAAAAAAAAAGCCAGTCTTTTGGCTTCAGATCACAGTTTAGTTTCACATCACAAATAACACCAGTTTTGAAAGCGTTTCTCAAAGGTTTTGACTTATAATGCATAATATCAACAGAGTTTCTGCAGAGTTTTCATAAGAAAATTAATACACCACTACATAGGAGTGTGATTTGGTGACTGTCAAGGCTATTGGAGCACTGTCCACTGAAAGTTGAACATTTTTAAACTTTTTTGTGTCATGTCACTAGCCCGCATATGCACATATTCACAAGCAACAATCGCTTCATACCGCAAGCTCCATAGAGAATGAATGGAGAGGGGAGAGACGTCACCTCCCATGTGTCAAGCCCATGTTCTTACAGGTTTTTTGTACATTCTTCAATTTCACAATGGACAATGGGCAACCAGTATAGATAATCGTAAAAAAAATCCACCAAAAGGATTTTTAGCATCCTCTAAGCAGTAAGGGGAACTCCCACAGTCCAATATGTTTTACCTGAAGTGTGATATTCTCTTGGTAAAGCCTGTAAAGCTCTCCAAGACCCTGTTTCAAACAAACACATTTTGTGGCATGATCATGCCCAGTGTGATACTGAACTTAAATCTCCTTTCAGATACAGACTGAAGTTCTGAACAAATATCCAATGAGCTTCCAAGAATACCAACAGACCCTGATCATGATTTGCATCCTTGATGTTTAAATCTCTTTATGATGTCAACTTTCTCATCAAGAAAATATTTTTTAGACTTCTGTAGCAGTTATAGAAAGCTGCAAATATGATAAACAAACACGGAGAGCATTTATCCATTTGTGAAACAGCTGCGCCTCTGGGATACGCTGTGGTTTTATCTGGCCCATGTGAGAATGTTGCTGTCCCAAAGGATAATCGGAGGAAATCAAGCATGTGCTTGCCTTACGGCAAACTATTCTTGTAGATTTAATACAAACACATTTAAATATTTCAGAGGGCTGTTGAAAGCAATATTAGACGGACAATCATATAATTTGTTTAAACTGTTTCGAGATTTTTGCAATCGCTTTGTTACTTATAATGTTCCTGGATATATATTGTGCAAAAGGAACTCCATTTGTGTTTCTGGAAAAAGTCACTAAAAGAGATTCTATACATTTTTTTTTTGTCCAATCGAAGTTATTTGGAATTTATCCCTTACAATGTTCCATATCAACAGACTAATCACAGGTACTGTGAAAATAAAGTTACACAATCCTATTAAAATTGTTTATGATTATGCAAAAAAAAAAAATACCATATTTTCCGC